TCCTCAGTTTTATAAGTCCTTCTCTCGTCTATTCTTATGCCAACAGCTTCTTCTGTGCCTCCGGTCGCCTGAATTTCCGGTTGATTCTCGAACCACAATCCGGAAGAAACCGACTCATTTAGGCGCATTATTAGCTCGTTTTTGCTGCCTGTGCAGGATAATCCCAACTTTCTCAGCTCCTCCTTCAACTCCACCACTGTTAGGTCACTTGCCGATCTCACACTCATCTTGTCTGCCTTAAGCTCGACAGCAATATCGCTTGACACTCACGAGACTTGCGACACTTCGAACCAAAACTGGCTTAGTCGATCCCGGACGAGCCCCCAGAAATATGTGGGATGGTGTTAATAAGTCAGTAATGTAGTGGTAATAACGAAATGTAACAAGTTTATTCTCTTTGACAATAAGTGTATTCTCCAAAGGACACAGTCTTTCTGCTCCTCTTCCTTGTCGCTGCCGTCTTATATACTTACCACACGCATACTCTCACTCATACAATAAGTTTTTTTTTTATTCTACGCTCTCTAAAACAATAGAAACTGCGCTCCTAAAACCGCCGCCATCAAACAGCGCCGAACGTCGCTAATCTCTTTGGAGACGCCGCCGTCTCCACCGCGCGAAGCTGCCGCTTCTATCAAACGACGCCGAGCTCTTACAGCGGACGTTACATACATCTCTCTCTCTCCCTCTCTCTCTCTCTCTCTCTCTCTCCATCTTCGACCTATAGCTTGCCTAAATTCGGTATCCTACATATATTTTTATTATTCTACAGGAGGTAGTTTAGCATGGGAGCGGTGCACTTGGACACGGTGCATTTGGACACAGCCAATCACAACACCGTGTGATTAGAGACATTTGTAGGGTTCCTTGGAACAGCGACTTGTGATTGGACTGTGTCCAATTGCCCCGTGTCCAACTGATATACACCCGTTTAGCATTATGTACTTCATGTATGTTACGAATGACAGATTTATTCACACATATGTATGCAGTTCGGAAGCATCTAATTGAGATATATGATGCGATAGACGGAAGATTTTGTTCAGATTGCAAAGGACCACTGTTTCAAATACTTCCATGCAATTTGTGTCCTTTATGCACCTAAGGACGTCCTAAAGAAGAATAGATACTAGAAGAAAGTGACTCGTCAGCTATAAAAAATCAAAACAATCAATTTGTGAAAGTACGTTTTTGTGAAAAAATGGAAGAACTCGCACGAGTTGAACGTAAACTGCAGGAGCAGTCCGCTCGACTGAGTTCGCGAGACGAATACGACGCGTGGGTGCAAATGTGTGACGAGTGCCTCGAGTTGTTGGAAGAACATAGTCGGACTAAACGACTGCGATTATCGATCGGTATTAGACAGTCATTGATTGCTTGAATCGTGCAACTCGAGGGTTTAAAAAATACGTTGCGCACATGTTTCGTTCACGCGGGTGTAGGACACAGCACGAGAGATGCAGGACTCGTTTGGCGCGAGGTCGATACCGCGTTCGATAACCGCATACTAACCGGAATTGTTATCAACGCGAACCACATCGAACCTCGCCAATTTCTCGAGGATGCAAAGACTATGGTGCTCGAGCGCATACGGGATACAATGGAGAGACACGTAAACGTGAAAGTGAACACTGCGTTTAACGGTGAGTTAAACGGGTCGTCGCGGGTGAAAAACGTGCGGTAAAAAGCATCGCTACGAAAAACTGTGAACTTTTTTCCACATCCAACTTAGAAGAGTGGTACGAGCGACGCATCGTCGAGCTCACTTTAGCATCGTTGGAGGAATTCCAGGAACGCGATAGCGGGTGGGCATTATCGCGAATATTCAATCTTACAATCATGTGAACAAATACAATCCGTTGTACGCGGGATGTCATCTCGAGTTACCGCGTGTGATACAGCTGAAGCGGGCTGTGATTAATGTCAAATCTCCGGACAATGCATGTTTCGCGTGGGCAATAATTGCGGCTCTGTATCCAGCCGAAAGACACGCAGATCGTGCATCATCGTATCCCCATTACACGAACGTACTCAATATTCAAGATATTGAGTTCCCCATTAAAATTAATCAAATTACAAGATTTTAACGATTAAACGATATATCCATCAATGTATATGGCATCATGCCGTACGGGAGAAAAGAACGAATCCATTGTTCCGGTACGTCTCAGCGATATAAAGAGGGAAAAGCATGTCAACTTGCTGCACATTTCGAATCCTCAACGAGACCACAACACGGGACATTTTGCTTGGATTAAGTACTTATCTCGACTCATGAGTTCTCAATTGAGCAAGAAAAAAGCCAGAAAATACATTTGCGATCGGTAAGTACATTTCATGAATTCAATGTATCGGAAGTATGAGACGATAGTAAATTGCAATGTTTTTTATAGATGCCTGCATTATTTCCACTCCAACGAGAAGCTAGAAAGTCACACAGACTGCGAAAAATTAAACGGCTGCGCCATCCTACTACCCAGCGAGGACAACAAGTGGCTAAACTTTCGCAATTACAGCAGGAAGGAGCGAGTTCCATTTGTGGTGTATGCCGACCTTGAGTGCATCTTACAGAAGACGGTAAGTGAGAAGGAAGAGGAGGGATGTACATCGCACGCGTATCAGCATCACAAAGTATTTAGTATAGCATATTACTTGCGTTGCTCGTACGACGATTCGTTATCATATTTTCGGAGCCGTCGCGATACGGATTGTATTTCGTGGTTCGTCGAGCAACTAGAAAAGTTAGCACACCGTGTAAAAGGAAAGTTATCAACCAATGTCGACATGGAAACTTTGTCGAAGGAACAGTGGGCGGCATTCCATAATGCGACGCAATATCACGTGTGCGAGAAGCCATTTGCGACAAAGGATACACGCGTACGCGATCATTGTCACTTCACCGGACGGTATAGAGGTCCCGCGCACTTAAACTGTAATTTAAATTACAAAAATTCATATCATATTCCAATAGTTTTTTACAATTCATCTGGTTATGATTCTCATTTTATTATCAAAGAAATAACTAACGCATTTGAGGAGTCAATCGATAACAAAAGAAAAATACATTTCGTTTACAAAGAACGTCCAAGATAAAGCAGATAAATATAAAAATATTGTAAAATTGCGTTTCATCGATTCCTATAAATTTCTCAGCAGCAGTCTCGACAAATTAACATCTTTTCTCACTAAAGATAAGTTAAAAATTGTACGGTCAGAATTTTCACAATTATCCGTCGAAGAATTTAATTTATTGACGCGAAAAGGTGTCTTTCCGTACGAATACGTGGATTGTGTGGATAAACTACAGGATGTGTGTTTACCGCCGCGAGAATCGTTTTACAGTTCGTTGACGGGCGATACGGTATCCGAGAGCGATTACGCGCACGCTGCAAACGTCTGGCAACGATTCTCTATTCGAACTTTGGGCGAATACAGCGATTTGTATCTGAAGACTGATGTCTTGTTATTGGCCGATATTTTTGAAAATTTTCGCGATAGCTGTATCGCAAGTTATGGATTAGATTCTGTGTATTATTATACTTTACCAGGTTTTACGTGGGATGCAATGTTGAAACATACCGACATAAATTTTGAATTGCTCACTGACATTGATATGTTCATGTTCATCGAACGCGGTATACGTGGTGGCTTGAGTCAATGTTCCGGTAGATACGCGCAAGCCAATAACAAGTATATGCAGTCTTACGATCCATCGGAATTGTCGTCGTACCTGACGTACTTTGACGTAAACAACTTGTACGGGTGGGCAATGTGTCAACCGCTGCCTTACGCTAAATTTCAATGGGTTACAGACTTTTCAAAATTTGATGTATTTTCAATCGATATCGATTCACCCATAGGTTATATTCTCGAGGTCGACTTGGAGTATCCGGAAGATTTACATGACGCACACGCCGACCTACCGTTTTGCCCAATGTGTGATAAACCACCCGGCAAAAGACAGAAAAAACTTCTCGCGACGCTATACAATAAACAACGTTATGTTATTCATTATCGCAACCTGCAGCAATGCACGCGTCATGGTCTTCGTATCGTAAAGATATACCGCGTGCTTCAATTTGCTCAATCTCCATGGCTCCGCGATTATATCAAATTAAACACACAATTTAGAACGCGTGCAACTAATAATTTTGAAAAAAATTTGTACAAATTGATGAACAATGCAGTATTCGGCAAAACGATAGAAAATGTTCGCAATCATATAGATGTAAAACTGTTGAAAAAATGGGATGGAAGGTACGGTGCTGAAACAATGATCGCAAAACTAAATTTTCATAGTAGAAGCGTTTTCGCCGAAAATTTAGTTGCCGTTGAATTGCGCAAACTCGAGGTGAAATTTAACAAGCCGATTTATGTGGGTATGTGCATACTCGATATATCAAAGGTTTGTTTGTATGAATTTCATCACGAGTACATGTATCCTCTGTATCGCGACAAATGTAAAATAATGTACATTGACACTGACAGTTTTATTTACAACATCAAATGCGATGATGTATACGAGCACATGAAACGTGATATTGCAAGGTTTGATACGAGTGATTATCCCGCTGACAACGTGTACGGTATACCGCTTGTAAATAAGAAAGTTCCGGGTTTGATGAAAGACGAAAACAATGGAGCGATAATGATGGAATTCGTTGGTCTCAGAGCGAAGATGTACGCGTTGTAAGTGAACGGTAAAAGGGATGCAAAAAAGGCTAAAGGCGTTAAGAGTAATGTCGTAGCTCGAACAATAACTTTTAACGATTAGACACAAATGGTTGAAAGAGGAGATTGAAACGACTCGCCAACAATCATGCATTAGATCAAAATTGCACGAATTATACGTGGACCGGATTTTCGGTCGATATCATATTCCTGAGCTATTCTCGAAGGAGGATTGTGCGGGTTTTCAATAATATTTTGGAGAACCTGCATAGACACGTCATCGTTAGTAGCTGTTTTTGGTCTACCCGATCTTCGTTCGTCAATAACTGAACCAGTTCTCTGGAATCGTAAAACAGTACGATGGACAGTAGATTTTGAAATAAGATCACGATTTGGAAATCTGTTATTAAACAGCGTGGCAACTTCTTCATAGGATCTCATTTTATCACCACATCCTCGCATTATAAGAACATGAATACGCTCTGTATCAGTCAAACGCATTTTCGATACAACCGATAGAAAACCAACCATAAACTTACAATGCAACAATGAATAATTGTATGAAATTATTTGTACAACGATAACGGCATGAAGAAGATACTCGAAAACAATTTAAAGCTTATGAGGTCAAAACTTCTTATTTGCATAAATAATGTGGTAGTTACCTAATCAATACGGGTTTTACACAGAAATATTATTATGTACTAATTTTACATAAAAAATTCATTGAATGAATTTCATTTTGAATCATAATTGTTGAATTATTGAATCTAAATTGATTTCGACCTGCACCTCTCAAAAAACAAGCAAAAGTAATGTAATTACTACATGCGTGTGAGTGTGCGTGTGCGTTAAAAAACACACACACACACACACAGGTGACGGCAAGGGGAACCACCTGAACAAAGCACCCCGAAGAGATGTAAACCCGACCGTGCAACCTCCACGCGGTACATCTCGGGTAATGCTAATGCCGGCGGTATTGTTAGAAAAGACTGATCATACATATTGCAGGATGTTTGAAATTGCAGTTAAAACCTCGCTAAGTTACTATTGCCATCCCTGAAATTTTCGAACATTCACCTTGAAATGACCTTGACTCTGATTTAAAAGGTCATGTCCTGAACGTAAAATTTTCCGCTCTTTCCAAATTCGTGGTAAAAAATAGTGGTTCCCACTTGAAAAATTGAACTTGACCTTGAAATGACCTTCAACATAATAGTCAAGGTCAAAATTCATATCACCATTAGATAGATAGGGAAAAATCATAAAACTTTCGTATATAACATTTTTCCAAAAAATGCAATCTCGCTGAGTTATTTGACCGTTCTGGAACTTTTTCCCACCACTGTATACGAACTATACGTTGTACAGTAACCGTTACACAATATGTTATATATCATAATGTACTGAAATTATGTAAATATTTATTAACTTGTATTATTATTTTACGCTTACCACTCTTCACTTTTATATTATTGAAATAATAATAGTTTATTCAGCTAGTATTGTACGGAAAAGGAGATAAAATAAAGTAATAGTTAAATTGTAGAATATATTTATTAATGGATCAATATTGAAACGTAAAAAATAATTCTTGTGCTGCTTTAGACAAAAAAGAAATACAGTTATGTCAATCGAAAATGTGTACACTGTTTCTTTTTTTTTTGTTAGCGAAACAGTAACTATGTAACGTGTTTATGAAGGATGCTTCATCCGTATAGTCCCAATAAGAAGTTAGAAATAGATTAATATTCTATTTTCTGTATAAAAATGTATGATATATGTGTACGATATAGTTAAATAGCAACATTTTTTGGCTTTAACGTTTAATTTTTATAATTTACTTTTTTTTATTAAAATAAAACAATATTTAATCTAGATTCTTAATTATTCTAAAACTTTGAGTGTTATTTTCATATACAATATAGATTAGCACCAATTTTTGGAAAATTTTTTCATTATTAATCTGGTACGGACAATACAAACATCCTTAATCAAATATATTTAAACGATAAAACAATTAGTAAAGAACGGTCACATCATGTCAACTTGCTTAAGCGTATTAACAACATTTCTGTTATACGTTTATATGTTGGTACTTCTAAAAAAAAGTACTTCTATAAACTTGAAACGGTTATTTATATTATAAAAATATAGGAGAAGACTATTGTAGCTTTACTTGTAATTGGGATAAACGATATTGATGGTCCGACGGACATATTTGTGAGGTCCTACTATAATTATTATCAATTGATAAGATAATTTTTTGTTTGTTTTACATGTTTACATATTTATATGAACATTTTATACATTCGTATCCCTATTATCTCAACAAATATAACGTAAATAATGCGTTTATAATTACGTTTTGATTTATTAATTTCTTTTAGATGCACTGTATATCTGATATCAAGAGACAGAAGAGAAGAAAACAACGTCCAAAATAAGAAGACATAACATTAATTATAAAGTATGTTTTATTTTTTACATAATCACAGTTTTATATCACAGTTTTATATAATCACAGGTGGAGACAAACATTTATTTTTAATCTGTTCCAGAATGATGTCATTTAATGCATGGAATGTCATACTGTTACTGTACGCAACATTCTCTGCATTAGACCTTCCACAAAGTCCGATAACTTCGGAGGAAATAGAAATGAAGGAGAAAATTGAATACATGCTAAAAGAAATTGGAAATGATAACGAATTTGAAATAGAAGAGGAGCAAACATTAGATTTTTATGATCCAAATGAGATTCCACATGCAGAAACAGTTGATTTGTTTCATCATGTTGAAGATGAGAATTATCTTCCAGAAGAAGTTATTTGTACTTCTGTTGAAGCAGCAATATCAAACGACTACAAAAGGCAAGCTGTGGAATACTGGAGAAGCGATAAAACAATACTAAAATCATTGGAATCGGTAAAACACAATTATAAACAAATAACATCGCTACGACAATTACGACGATGGAAGAAGTATATCCATGCAGGTGGTACAAGAAGAGAAAAATTGCAAAAAATTGCTGAATATACATTAAACACTTTCAATGAAACGCTCCAAAAAGGAATGATAATTCATGATATTGACATCGGTCGATGGGCTTCTCGAGCACAACAAGAGATAAATGCGCCAGGATTCATAGCGTCACATACGTGGATACACAGATTCAAAAAACAACATAGTATCTCGTTCAAAAAATAACATAGTATCTCGTAAAATAACGAAATTTGTCACGAAAAAATCTTTGTTATCAAAATCAGATTTGGAAAATAAGTGCAAAACATTTACAACAAATGTTAAATATTTTATTAATCAATATGGAGTAGAAAATATTTATAATTCGGATTAGAGTGGATTCCAGTTAGAACTTCACGCCGGTCGTACTTTAGCAAATAAAGGTGCAAAAACAATAGAATCTGTAGTACAGTCTGTATCCGCAACCACGCATAGTTACACATTACAGCCAACTATTTCTACTGATGGTAGATTATTGTCGCCTCTTTTCATCGTATCAAAAGAATCCACAGGAACGTTTGGACCACGAGTGCAGCAATCGTTATTTAACGCTCCTAACATTTACGTAATGGTTTCAAAGTCAGGTAAATTAACATCAAATCATGTAAAAACTTGGTTGAGAGAAGTTTTCTTTCCGAACGTCAGGCCACAATCTGTATTACTATTAGATTCTTGGAGTGGACATTGTCCCAACATAATTGCCGAAAGTAGACCAGATTCTGCAACAGATATATATTTTCTAACAATTCCGGCTGGTACAACGGGAAAAATACAACCACCTAGATGTATGGCTTCCGTTTGTGGAAAAATTTTATCAAATATTTCTCTGATAATGTTATGTTACTCGATCTTGCAATTGATCTTCATAATAGGAACAATATATTGAAATTGCAGTCATTAACACACCATCAATTCTCGTCATCTAGGTTTCAAAATTTATTTAAATTTGCATGGTTTAAAAGTGGATATTTACAGACTAGACCGCCAGAATTCGAGACACCGGTTGATTTTTGTTTAAAAAAAAATCCTAAAGTACAATACGATATTTGTGGCGAAACTGCTATAATTACTTGTTTTTGGTGCAAACAATCACTTTGCATCACACATTTCTTCCATGAGCACCACCTTTGTTACGAATATGTGCCACAAGTAAAACACATTTATTTTCTGTGTACGCAAATCTTTTATCGATTTTTCTTAATATTATATTAATTATATGATTTAAAAATATTATAATAACATTATAAATTATAAACATTATACATTAAATATATGTAATTGTCTATGTATTATTTTTCTACAATTAATTACATTCCCCTACTTACAGTAACGTATCCATCTATTTGAACGGCGTATAGCACGATATTATCACGACGTTTTCCAACTATTTAATCGAGACCACCTTATAATATTATAAATGGATCGATTTGGTATGAAATGCTGTACAATTTTTGTCCTTACAAAAACTTACAAATTTTGCAAAGGTAATGAGTAGGAGAGGGGGGGGGGTTCAAAAATTTCATGTTTTTGAAAAAATTTAATATATTGTTTCAAAGAGCGTTAAATACTGTACAACTTTTGTAGGAAACATTTTTTCATATACCTTATATTTTAGGAAATATTCAATAAAAATGGAAAAGTCATTTTTTTTCAAGGGGCTGTTTCAACCCCTAAACTCAATATATGGCCGATAAAAAAAATACGTGTCGACTACTTTTTGATGCTCTGCAACATATCCAAAGCGCATCAAAATCGGGGGGGGGGGACAGTTCCGCAACTTCCCTT